CTTTCATACCACCTCAGTTGGTTGCATGTATAGATTTAGCTTGAGTGAAATCACTTAAAGGAGGGGCAGTGAATGTGCATTGAAAGATATAATGGGCATATGTCTGCTGAGGATAAAAATCAGTATTAATATGTTGGGCCTATATTACACATTAGGCTGGAAACAAGGGAAATATGACAATCCTAGCTGGTAGTCTGCACATTCCCCCACCCTTTTAATTAGGTAGGGGAAATGACTGTATGACTGTAATGAGGATATACCAGAAAAAGTACCCAGTCTATATAAAGATAAAACTAAAAATTGTACCTCTTGCAACAGTTGTGTTTTGAAATACAATGTAAAAGACCATTATCTGGCTGGCTGTAGCAGGCATGTGATTGCTAATGTTTACTTAAAAAGGGGAGTTCCTACTTTCCCCCCCTTCTATCAGAAGGAGCCATTCTGTCAACAAAGGTATTTCGTTTTCTATATATATATACACACACATGCAAAAGGAAAAACTAGTTTATAGCCTGAAGTTGAAGAGTTTAAGAAAATTAACAGCACCTCACTCACCTAGAATGATGGGACAGCCTCCTAGGTGTAATCAGGAATGGAATACAAAATTGGTGGAACTAATGTGCTGTACGGGTTAGTACTAACTGTGCTATGTTTTATGCTTGTTTTACCAGTTTTGCTTTGGAAAGAAAATGTGCAAAACTAGTCTTTGGAATTGCAAACATATTTTTGCTTTCTTGTGGATTAGCTCAGTTATCTGAGGTGTTGTTTTTTTACTTTGTTTTCCAGAGCCTCTGGTTTGAAAGACTTGCTGTAAAAGGCTCTGAACTTTAGTCCTGTTGTTTGTGAATGTGCTGGACACTGTCAAAGTTATATGTTTACAACTTGGTTTTTATGTGTCTGCATCTGACTTTACTCCATTTTACTGCTTGTAATCATAGTAAATTTGCAAAGCATTAATGCATGGTTACCTTCTAAGTTCCAATATTATCCCAAAGTAAGGATATCATATATTGTGAGATCCAGTCTTTTTGCATTCTGGCAACATTTTCTGGTACGGCTTTAGTTGGAATTATGGTGGTAAGTAGACGTTTGGTTAACAGAGCAATCCTATACATGCCTACATGGAAGTAAGTCCCACTGTGTTCAGTGAAGCTTACTCTAAATAAGTGCGCGCCTAGGATTTACAGCCCAAAGTGTCCTAGCATGCTCCAAAGACCCAAAATAATGTCTTTGGCTGGCATCCAACATTATTTAATAAATAAAAAATGCTGCAGTGTTTTGTTTTGTTTGTTATTGTGTTTTGTATTTCTGTGTTGTTATATTGTAAGACGCCTGGTGATCATTGGATGAAGGGTGGTATATAAATTAAGCAAAAAAACCTGTAGAACTTCAAGTCCATTTATTTCTGTGGATCTATTCTGTGACAATCACTATTAGCTTTTTACTGTTGTCATGGCATTGCTGTTCTAAGTATAACACAATTGTAGTAAGAGGCTTACAGGAGTGGGTGCTAGGAGCCGGTCATCAATAACTCAACAAGACTTCAGTGAAATTAACTCTTTATTCAAAGAGACAAGACAGCTCAGGAGGCCAGGCCTAGAGAGCACAGCAACTCTTCCCGGTAGAACTTGATCCTATGAGGTGGTTGTGAAGACTGAAGGTCTCCGCCTCCCCACAGCTCCCTAAGTCTCCTCCTCCCCTGGTTCCTTCCCAAGCAATCTGAGACTGTTGTCTTGCCTGTCTTTGCTCCACTCTCTTCATACCCTTTCTGGTTCTGGAAGACCAAGTGGGAGGGGAGCTAGTCACAGCAGGAAGGGGGAAACACCCTGGCTTCTTCACCAGCCTGACTTATCTCCGCCAAGGCCTCTCCAGCCTCTGCTTCTGCCTCTGATTCTGGACCACTCTCTGCCACAGAGGCTTCCTGCTCACTAAGCCCTGTTACCTCTTCAGCTTCTGATACCTCCTCCTCCCAGTCTACTTCCTCTTCTCCCTCTGACCAATCATTGTTGTTCCACCACCAATCCCCTGGCTCTGGTCCTTCTTCCCTGGGGGTTCCCCAGCTGGTGCCTCCTATCACTCATCTGCATCTAGCAAGTTCAAGACGAAGGCATATATTAAAACTGAAATTGGAATAAATTGGCATAAGCTGGAAGAATCCAAGTTTATTTTTACAGCAAATGTTAGTACGACTTCTAATATCAAAAACATTTGAGGACTGGGTGAAAATGGCCCTTCTTTTATCTTTTCTTTGTTTGAGGGTAGTGTAACGGGAAGATTTTTTTACAGACTTTTCTCCAGTGTGAAGTTGATGAAATTCTCCAACAAAATATTAAGAAAGGGACTTAATATTAGAAATGCTAGCAGCATGGGCACTTTCCACTTGCTTTTGGTTTTTGCTGCAGTAGCAAGCAACAACGGTGGAAATATAGCAGGCTTCCTTTGTTGGTGGCCTAGCCGCCAATTTATATCCCCCACAATGCCCCGTACATTGCATAATTCCAGGGCCAAGTGGGGGAGGGGAATAGCTGCTTCTACCAGATAATAATAGTACTACTACTGAGAATGTTTGCAGATATTCTGTTAAAAAAACACCTCCTTTTTCCCCTGGAGGAGTTTCAAAAATAAAAATTCAGTATCTGATTTTCACAGGCATTTCAGCTCTGTTCTAAAAAATACTTTTGCTTCCCTTCGTTCTTGAGTTATTCTGTCATCCTGCGGATTGCCTTTCCCAACACAGCAGTGCTTGATTACCTTGTGAAATAGAGGACAAGAGGAAAAATTGATACATGTGTTGCCATCATCTTAATTAAAATGGAAAAAACCTACTCCTTTGCTTCTTTGTCTTTGTTATGTCCAGAGAGACATTACATACCTTAAGGTAGCATCAGTTAAGCCTTACTCTGTTAGCAAATCCAGGAAAGGGGGAATCAGCAGATGAGGCAGCTCCCACTTGTCCCTCTCCCTTTGTCCTCCCAGAGTCCACTCCAGCTCTGAAATTCTGCTTGTTACAGCAAGCTGGAGGAGGAAGATAATAGGATTTAGAAGGGCAGGAGGTTACGACCGCCTCCTTTCCCAATTGATCAGCAGGTTTAAAAGAAGAGGGGGAATCTTTGGGTTACAGCCCTATTGGAGATGTTGATTGGTTTCCAAAGTTGCATAGAATTAAAATTCACAGAACTGCTCCGTATTTTAGGGATATGTGGAGGTGTTTATGGCTGTCTGTCCTGGCAACTAATCCCATTCACTTTAGAGCTGTATTCTTCCACTTTCAATCCCAGGACACACCTTTAGCCCAAACATTCATTTAGGGACCCACTTTCTTTTCTTAACCATATAGTTGTTTTTCAGTGATTCTGCTGTTGTGACCCACCTGAGATCAGGCTGTGACCTGGTAGTGGGTACCAACCCACCAACTGAAAGCCAGTGTTTTAGAGGCAGGGAGCAGCAAGAGTTGCAAATGGACACAAGTGCTGAAACTGTCCACAAAAGTAACCTTCTGGTGTCCTGTAAGCACCTAAAGAAAGAGTGGACACTGCTTAACAGACAGCAAGTGGGAAAGAGCAGTATGGAAGAATAAAGTCAGCTTGGGACCAGGTGTGAAATGTGGACCGGTGAAAATTAGCAGCTTAAAGAGTTTTGTGCACTTGTGTTTGTGGTATAATGTCCTAAGCTTTTGACACGAGCTGGGTGGATGGAGACTATCATTGCAATATTTCATTTACGTTTAATTGGGCTGAGAAGCAAAGTTGTAGTCAGAGTGCAGTTTCTGATCTCCTAAGCCACAAGTAGCCTCAGATGAGGTTACCTTAAGTGAAGGTGACCCACCCTGTTCCCTATGTGAAAGTGCACATTTAGTTCCTTAGCAGAGGTCCTGCTTTGTGTCTGTTCACCCTCTTTTGGTTTGTTAGATGGGTATGTGAGATTGGACTTTTAAAAAAATTATGCATTTTTTCATTTTTGAAACATGGACATGCATATCAGACAAATCCACCCTCCCCCACTAGAACTGCACAACAAATGGTGTTATAAAATATTGACTCTTTTCTAATGTCCTCTTTTTTTCAGATTATAAGTCCTCACCATAATGTTCCATGGGCATATGACAGTAGACGCAACCAATCAGTCCTGCTAATATATGCAAAAAAGCAATACCAGCCTTCACTAATAGTCTTTTTCTTTTTTTGGCTTCTGCTCACCTTTACCCAAGCCATCAGTTTATCCACGAGAACAACATGCCGCAGTCTCCCACACTTCTCCCAGCATGCGTGTTCCATTCAGTCGCCGCACCTCATCTGTAGGGCAGCAAGGCAGCTTACCAAGTCCTTTCAGCATATGGCTAAGACCATTTTGTTGATGGTTGCAAGCTGGCAGTGTTGCAGAAGTATCTCAACAATGTTTTTTTGGGAAGGTGGGAAGTTTGGGTCTTTTTATTATTTTTGTATTTGTATTTTATTGTTTAGGTTGTTTGCCGCCTTGAGTATCCGAAGTGATAGAAAAGGATACACATTATTTTAATAATATACAAATCAGGGATAGCCACTGTGGTGCTCTTCAGATGTTGTTAAACTACAGTCCTCATCATCTCTAACCATTGACTGTGCTAACTTAGGGGTGATGGGATTTGGAGTCCAACAACATCTGGAACGCAACATGTTGACAATCCCTGATATAAATAATCTGGAATGTGTATTTGTTGGCATCCTTCTCTGTAGAACACAGTGCCCCTCCCTATTTAACATTTTTTTTTTCTTTTTTAAAAAAATCTGTTTAAATTAGTTTTCAGCATTTTTGGTTCTTAATTTCACCTCCTCTCTCCTGTTCTACTTTGTAACTGGTTCTCTTATAGTTTGTTGTAACAGATGTTTCAAACCAGCGTGCGATGATTAATTGAATCATCACCTTATCTTTTCAAGCAGTGTGAAATTTTTTAACATAACACTCCCAGACCTTAGTAAGTACTATTTTTAGAATTAATGCAATCTTTTTCTCTCTCTCCTCAGATGAGCGGGACAAAGTACAAAAGAAAACATTCACAAAATGGATAAACCAGCACCTTATGAAGGTCAGTTCACAAGCATGCTTAATAGGTTCATAATATCTGTGTAGCTTCGTAGCAACCCTGTGAGTGTAAACTTGGCAAGGTTTTCCACTTAATATCCTGTAGACATTTCCTTTGTTTGTTTGTTTGTTTTTCTTTAAATGATAGAAAAGTCATGCTTTGTGTCTGCAACTATTTGTTGGTGCTAATGGATGAACGGTCTTAAACCATAGCGGTCCAATCCTAAGCATGTTTACTTGGAAGCAAATCCCACTGGTTTCATTAGTAGGATTTACCTCTTCATAAGTATTTTTAGGTTTCCAAACCTAAGTGTGTGAATACAGTGGTACCTTGGTTTAAGAACAGCCCAGTTTATGAACAACTTGGATTAAGACCGCTGCAAACCCAGAAGGTGTTTTGGTTTGTGAACTTTGCCTTGGAATAAGAACATGTTCTGCTTCCTGTTGAGTGTGTTCCGTTTGTAAATTGAGTCCCCCGCTGCTATGGGAAAGCACGCCTTGGTTTAAGAACGCTTTGGTTTAAGAACGGACTTCCAGAACGGATTAAGTTTGTAAATCAAACTTAAACCAAATTCCAGTTATCAACTTAATCCATTCCGGAGGTCCGTTTGTAACCGGAAACCGCTCATAACATGAGGCGCTCTTTCACTAATGGCACCTCCTGCTGCTGCCACACTGCCGGAGCGCGGCTTCCACTCACATCCCGGGGCAAAGTTTGCAACAAGGGGCATCTACTTCCGGGTTAGCGGAGTGCGTAACCCGAAGCATTCGTAAGGGGAGCAGTACGTAACACGAGGCACCACTGTATGAGATATGCTGTAGGTGATTTGTTTTAACATCAGAGAAGAAGAGAACTGTTTCATTTGAAGCACTTTCTGGGGCTACCATGCCTCCTTATTGGGGCTACTGTTTATATGAAGACTCTGCATCTAAAGATTCCTGTTTCGGGGCTGTGACAGTGTGAGGTAGTCAAAGGGAAGAGTAAGTGAGGGAGAAGAAGAGATATCGCCACCTGAATGCTCCTCCAGTGCTGATGTCTTAGCCTCCGCCACCATGAAAGAGAGAGACTGCATCAAGCAGTGCAGTAGACTCCATGTGTGGTGACAGCTTATTATGTTCCTTAAATCTGAATTGTGATCCTTCAAGCAAAACGTGCTTATAGGTTTTTAGGCAGCTGTTACAATGGCTGCAGTGGTTTGCCTGGCCTTTGCTAACAGAAAGCTTACTTTTGTGTGTGGAGAAGTGCCTCCCTTGTTTCTGGAGGGTACTGCTCCACACTACGGGGAAGGAAGGGTGTTAGAGCAATATGGTTCAGACAGTGCACATTATTCACATATAATATTTGTCCACTCTTCCCCTGCTTACTTGGCTGGGGTACACTGCCCTGGAAGCCCCAGCTGTTGGAGCAGAGTGTGGGATGATATTAGATGTTTCTGCCTGAATTCCTGAGGCACAGTAATTGGTAGGGTTCTCCGAAGACCCTAGTACAAACAGTGTAAGCAGTATATGCAGGGTCTTCACTCTATGATAGGAGAACAAGACAGTGATGAGGGTGGAGGGTGGAGCAACAGCAAGCACAGAGTAAGAATTAGATAAAGCCAAATATACTTTTCTGTATTGATGCATTGTAGCACGCTAACATATTTTTAGGAAACAGAAAAACACAACCTTAACAGTGCAATGTTATATATGCCTACTCAGAAGTAAGTCATACTCAGTTCATTGGGACTTACTCCTAGGTACCATATATACTTGTGTATAACCTGACTTTTTCAGCACATTTTTTATGTTGAAAAAAGCCCCCCTCGGCTTATACTCAAGTGAGGGTATAAGAGGCTGTTGTCGGGGGGGGGGAGGAGGAAGGAGCAGCCTGAAAGCAGCCCTTGTTCTTCCTCCGCCCCTGCCGTCACCAGCCTCTGCCTCTCCGCAGCACCCTAGGTCGGCAGGGGGGCGGGAGGGGCTGGGTGGGGAGAGAGGAGCCCCCTCTGCGGTATGTACATGCACACACGCACTCCAGCCCACCGGGAGGTTTGTGGTGTGGTGAACCGGCTTATACTCGAGTCAATAAGTTTTCCCAGGTTTTTGTGGTAAAATTAGGTGCCTTGGCTTATATTCGGGTCGGCTTATACTCGAGTATATATGGTAAGTATGTAGATGATTGCAACATAATAGCATGGTCCCAACCTTGTCCATTGAGAATTAAGTCCTCTTCATTTCACTGGGGAGGTAAGATTGCAACCTTAGTGTCCTTGCACTAGAGAGCAATGATCTCTGGAAGGATTCCATCCCTGTTTTATGGTTTCTAGAGGTGAAATGGTATTCCATGCCCCAAAACTGTGGGTCAATGAGTAAGGCAGTAACACATATCTATCATCTATCTATCTATCTATCTATCTATCTATCTATCTATCTATCTATCTAAACATGCACAGCCATTAGCCTCCTTGGTAGTATTCAAATTAATGATGTTAAAGTAAATTAATTATTCCTCCGGATTAATAACTTAGCAGGCTAATATTGTTAATATATTAATTCATTCTCTTTGGTATGGATTGTTTGCAATTAACACTTGATTAGCATAAACTTTGATTAATATTTTATTATTTGTCCTTGCAAGGTATTAACATGCAGGGTTATTTTACCAGCTAAAACCAGCTGAAGGCTTTAAAATTAATTGATACATTATTCAGCAAGCTGTTTCTTGTTATCTGTACAATATTGCTGTATGCAGATTAGGGTTTGAAAAAATATTGGCTTGTTCCCCGCTTCAATTGTGAACTGTGCCGTTTATCCCGAGGGGAGTGGTTGGATCTTATACTATCCCATATGCAGAAAATTGTAGAGATTGGCCAGTATTTATTATGCCACATACAGTGCCCCCCATTATTTCCCCTCATTTATAATTTGTGGTTACAGTTGTGACTTTTTGCATATGAGGACAAAAAAGGTGTCCAAGTAAACAAGCCACCAATTTTTTTAATTTGTATAGAAGTTTTGATCTTTAACAATGCTTGCTCTAACAGTAATATGTAGCAGCAATCGTGAAAGTACAGCTTCCATAAAGAGATGATGAGTTCTGTTGTTTTTTTAAAAGAAAACACCAACCCAAAAATACTGTCGAGCTTTTTAAAATCAAATTTGAAGCCTTCTCTGTCCGCTTTTAAGCAAAAACAATGTTACAGATTGCCCATGCAATATGTAGCTTAGACCTCAAAGCAGTCTAAGGTTACACACTGACAGAAATGTAAAGTGATACCAAAGTTAATGCTAACTGAGGAAGGAAGAGGGAGGTGCTCATGAGCCCATGAAGCCATCCTAATCTCCTAACCATTGCTGCATCATGCAGTGTTACCTCTGAATTGGGTCATTGATCCCACATTTCAGTACAGAGTTTAAGGCTATTATTTGGGGCTATTTTGAGCCTTGTCATCCAGAGATGAATCAATACAGATGCCCAAACTACCATGAAGTAAGCTCTCTCACTATGCAGTAGATTACTTACCAGTTTCATTCTGTCATATTATAAGAAATATTTTTACCACTCCTCATGAGGTTAAAACTGACATGCAGCACTCATGGATGAGGGTTATTTCTCAACCTGGCACCCCCCCTTCCTTCCATTGCATTCTGTCGCAGGATCTCACCCAAGGTCCAAGGAGGTAAAGAAATCCACATCCAGTTATGATAGCTGTCTCTTTATGGTTCTGCTTCCTGAGTCTTCCAAGGGAAAACCTGTCCTCCATTGCTATTTCCGCAGTACTCCGGTTGGGGTTCAAAGCCAGTATTTATATCTGATTCTCTCTTGGCTGTGGATTTTATCCAACTCAGTCATATCCAGTGTAAAAAGGTAAAGGGACCCCTGATCGTTAGGTCCAGTCGCGGATGACTCTGGGGTTGTGGCGCTCATCTCGCTTTACTGGCCGAGGGAGCCGGCGTACAGCTTCCGGGTCATGTGGCCAGCATGACTAAGCCGCTTCTAGCGAACCAGAGCAGCACACAGAAATGCTGTTTACCTTCCCGCCGGAGTGGTACCTCTTTATCTACTTGCACTTTGTGCTTTTGAACTGCTAGGTTGGCAGGAGCTGGGAGCGAGCAACGGGAGCTCACCCCATTGCAGGGATTTGAACCGCCGACCTTCTGATCGGCAAGCCCTAGGCTCTGTGGTTAAACCCATTGCACCACCCGCATCCCTCATATCCAGTGTAGACCTACTGAAATCAAGGGACTTAAAGTTACTCATGACCTAATGTGATTCCATGGCCATCTGGGGTGTACTAATGCCGACCAGAGAAACATCAGACCCAACCCACAGTCTCACACAGTTATTGGCATTTTAAAAAGGCTCTCTTGGTTTTGGTTGTTGCAAATGTTATTTCAGGATCGAGAAGAAGTGTACCTCTTCAGCACTTCTGTAGTCCTTTAAAAGGGGGTAAGGGAAAAGCTGGGCCTTTGCCTCAAAATAATCCCCCACATCATTAAAAAAAAAAAAAGTTTTATCTTCCTGAAGCGAAGTGCACCTTCCTGTGTTTTGAAAAAAATAAATAAAATAAAAGCCGGGGCAGTGGGGGGGGGCAGGCACACCAGCAGCTTTTCCCTACACCAAAATTCTCCCCTATACTCTGAGGCTTCCATCTCCATTAATTTGATTGTAAGCTATATTACTTCTAGGAGGCTTGGTACAGAGAGTGGAATGACACTCGGGGGCTCTTTTTGACTTAGCTATTTTATGCTTCTAGGATTCCTTTAATCAGTGTGCTCTTTTCTGTGGCGAGGTTTTTGGTTTTTGGTTGTTGTTTTTTAAAAACCTGTTCCAATCTTAATTATTGTGTGTGCCTGAAGCCAGAATAAAACATGAAAGCCTTTTTAATGTGCATTCTGGATTTATTTATTTATCTACTCATTTCTAGCATTTTGGAATAAGACCGTTTCAGAGCAGTAAAATCAGTTCCACAAGCCTGCCTTTGAACCTGATGATGGTATCACATTCCCTACAGTTGCTGATGT